TGTTGGATATGGATAATTACTTATATAAGCGAAATAAAAATAAAAATAAAAATAAATAAAAAAAACTTACTTACTAATATATAATCAAAATCAATACAATCAATCAAAGTATAGTGGTTAATAGTGTGTTATTATCATCAATGTTTTATTTTTTATTTATTTAGGAAGAGAGAAGAGAGGCACTAAATGGAGGATTATGAAAGTCAAAGTAGTTCTAGGGAATTATCTTGCAATTGGATCTCTCTAAAGAGCAAGTACAAAGGTGGGATGGATTCAATATTGTGAATCTAAACAAGCAAGAGGCATAAATTTAATATTCTCAAGAAATATAGTAATAATGTCATGATGTACTTTAGTTAAATGTGTTAAAGATATTTAGAGGATAATTAACTTTACTTATATGAAGAGATGAATATAATAATAATATATTTATAAATTTTAATGGAATATAAAATAAGAGATTATTGGCTTCAATGGATTATTCAAGCTTTGAAGGTATTTCTTTTAAGGATAGATATTCAACTCTATAGTGGTTCAAAGTAGGTATTGGAAGAATTTTAGAATAGAAATTTTGGCATCAAGTGGAGTTTTTTTTTATTATTATTATTATTATTATTATTATTGGGATAGAAGTACGTAAGAGAGAAGTCACTGGAATTTTAAATGGGCAAGTTTTAAGATTGGTTTGTGGTTTTTGATGCCACTTATTGAATTTTTATCTTTTTGCATTGAGATTTGGAAAGAAATTAGATCTCATTATTAGCTTTCAAACAAGTTTTAGTATACAAGAAAAAGACTTGTGACAAAGGAGATCCATGCAAGTTTGTGGAAGAGAAGTTGCTAGAGTTTTTGGAGCTGCATGATTTAAGATTAGTTTGGGAGTTTTTGTATCACTTCTTGAATTTTTTTTCTTTTAAATCTGAAATTCTAAAAGAATTTGGATCTCATTGTTAGCTTTTCAACAAGCCTTAGTATGTAAAAAGAAGAGCTATGACAAAGAAGATCCATACAAGTCTTGACTTCTTAATATGCATCTTTCCTTATTTTTGGCATTGTAAATTGGCCAAATATATATTCTATCTTTTTTTCTTCATCTTAAGTCATCCAAGTATCTAATGCCTCAATTATAATAGCCTCGGATGTCATTTGCCTTTTTTTTATGACACCAATAGTCAACTTATGGAAATCACTCTTTGTTATACCAAGAGCTTTCTTCAAGATAAATTCAATTTTGGTATCTTAAATTTTTTCTTCCAAAATATTCTTCATATTAATAGATGTTTAAATATCAAATTGAAGTTTATAAGTAATATTTTTATCTTTGGCCTTTTTCTAATGTATCTTTCTCATTATTTTATTTTTTTTTCCAATGCTCTCTTTTTATTAAGAAATTCAATAGAGTTTTCTTGTTGAATAAATCTACCTTTTTTTTCTTCAATTTTAACATCATATAAACCAACAACTTATTGATCTTTAATTAAAAAAGCTCTAATACTCATAGCATCAATCAAATCTTTTCACCTAGTCATTCTAATAATCTCAGCTTTTCTCTTCAAAGTATCAATTGTTAGTAAATCCACAACCTTCACTTCTCTTTATTTCACTTCAATGATATAATATTCTACTTCTCTTCTGGATATGGTACTATTCTTATTGATTTATTCTTCTACTAATTTCTTCATATTTCTTTTTTCAAAATTGATCTTTAAAAGCTCATCAAAGCTTGAAAGTTTTATCTTTCTTTCCTTGAAATGAACAATACTTTCTCTAATTGCCACTTTATAGTTATTATATTCATTGCACTTATAGCTTGGACTATCATACCACATAAATCTTTTTACATACATCTTTCTACATATCCTTTAAATTCTTTTAAAATATTTAATATACTAAGATTTTAAGATCTTTTCAAATTCTATCATTTCTACCCTCAAATCTCTCATACCTTTGATTAATTCTTCCAATGCTTTATCATGAATAATCTTGCTCATCTTTTGAATTGATGAAGAAGTTTGGACAATAGATATTAGATCTAATTGTGTTAGATAACTTCAAGTCTTAAGCTTTTGTTGCTTAGCTAAAAATTTAATTGAATCCTTCAACTTTCTTCAATCATTAATAAAGCCATTCTTAGATGTATTATTTGCTAAATAAAAGAATAGTTTATTTTTCAAATTTTTATTTATTACTTGTAAAAATAACTCAATTTTTCTTGTATCAAACAATTGTCTCTAATACCTTGATAATTGATTGAACTTCTTCTTGAAATCCTTAATAAATTTGCTTAGGCCCATTTGACATCTAGGCATTTATTCAATCCACTCTAAAAATGACCTCTTAGTTATTCTTTGTGAATCTTCTTCAAAAAATTCATCTTTGAGACATTCTACAAATTTGATCTAAGAAATAGAGTCTTCATACAATTCTTTCACACTTTTTTTAATCTTAAGAACAATAATAAGATCAAAAGTATAGATCATCTTTATTTTTGGAACTTGATGTACGTCTATTTTACATACAAAGATTTTAAAGAACTTGGTAATATTTCTTCCTTTAAATCTTTCAATTTTATCAACCATAGCTTGTAAGGCTTTTGTAGTATCCTTACAAATTCTTAAATTTGTTGTTATCGCTCTATGAATAATACAAATGGTCAAAATAAGTTGTTTGAAGCAACACCTCTTAGCATTCCAAAATCTAAATCAACATCTTCTATTGTTTCTATTAGAATAATAAGTACATCAAGACTCTCTTAGTGGAAGTACCAATATGTCATGGATAGAGAATTTTCTTTAAGAAAATACGAGGCTTGTAAGTGCTACTAATTTTCCTACTATCTTATAACTTTAGAATATACACAACATTTGATAAAAAAAATCCTTTATAACTTTTTTTGCTCCTCATATCAATAAATCCTTTCATTAAACATTTGCAAAATAAAAACACAAGAAAGACAAAACTTCCTTGAAAAGTCTTTTTATCTCTCTCCTAAAAAGGTGGCCACTTTTTCAAAATCCTAAATTCTAAATCCTACTCCAAATTCTAAATCTTATTCTGAAATCATAAATCATAAATTTTTATTTTTATTTTATTTTATTTTATATTTAAATTTTATATATTTTAAAAAAAAAATTGATGATACCAAAGGATTGATGGCATCTCACTTTAGCCACCACTAACTTGTGGCTTCTTTTTTTTTAAGAGAAGTTATATAACAATCTATCAAGAAGACAAATATATATAAGATAAGAGCATCACACATCATGCTATTATTAAAAGAGATTCATTGCTCCTGTCCATAGGTGACAAGTATCCTTGTCATCTAACATAATTTATTTAAAAACTCATTCATTTATATTTTTATATATAATATTTTAAATATAATTTTTATTAATTTTTATTAATTTTTATTTTGATCTAAAATTTAATTAATGAATTAATTCTAATTCTTAATCATTTTTATATTTTTTATTTAATAAAAAATTATATATTAAAAATTATATATTTTATAATTCTTATCTAATTTTCATATGATGTGCATAAGTACAACATGACAACAAAGAGACATGTTGGAAGAATGTACACATACACGCAACTCAATGCTACTCAATAGTTGTTTTTATTGAATGATGGTAGTCCAGATTCAATGAGGATTAAAAAAATAAAATAAAATAAAATAACAAAAATAGATCAGATTTTTCTACAGATGACTCGGTCTTTTAGAATGGGATCTAAGACAATGAGAAGATATGCCAAAAGAATGTACTCACATATGTAACTCCACGCTACTCAATGGTTGTCTTTATTGAATGATGGTAGTCCAGATTCAATGAGGATCAAAAAAAAAAAAAAAAAAAAAAAAAAAAAAATGGATCATGTTTTTTTTATACACGACTTAATCTTCTAGAATGAGATCTAAGACAATTCAAATGATGTGATAATGGATCCCTAAGAATTACATGGCTTTTTGTGGTTGCACTTTGTTAAAAACAAAGCACAAGTTTATACTGATGGTCAAATAAAAATGGACAAGGATCCTTCTCTAAAACTTTAAATTTTGGTAGTTGAATAGATGGGATCTAGAAAGAATATAGAAAGAGGCCAAGTTATTGTGGTTGATATGGTATTGAACTATGGTGGTGAATACATGGCAAAGAAGGATTGATAGTAACATGGATTAATGTTGCTCAATATCTTCAAATAGTACAAGAGAGATGGTTCTTCATCATTTTTGGTTGTATTCATTGGCCTAAAAAACTTGGCAAAGGGAAATACAAGTCTTATTACAATTGCTACTTCAAGCTAGCACCACCTTATCCATTAGGAAAATGCCTAACAATACCCAAACATCAATTAAGATCATGGAGGTGGCAATTTAAGATATTTCTAGTAGTAATATTATCACTATCAATGGTACATGATGTTGGAGTGGTAAACAAACCACAAACCCCTCACAATTTCTACCTAATTAGAAGCATTGCATTTTTGCACATATAACATTCCAATGCTTAAGAAAAATTAGCAAAATATGGCTATTGTTGCACAAGACCATTACATGGTTGCTACAGATCAAAAGAAATAATGTGGTATTCAACGGGATTTTGTGGCCTTCACAAAAAAATGCACAACAAAGTCTAGCTGAACCTAATAGATTATAGCAGGGTAGCTTGGATCCAAACACAATCAAAGTGCAAACAAAGTCCAAAGAATAGAGATAAGTTGCTAGAGTCTTTCAAGCACCTATGGTGTGCATATAATGTATTTGTCACATGGATAGGGAATAAGCTCCAATGAAACCTAGTAGGAACCATTATAGAAGGCTAAGTATTGTATATATCAATAGTATTAGAAAAGTTCCCAATCCTGGTCGGACCCGGCTGGGACTTCTGTACACTATTATTCCCGTGCATTGTGTCAAAAAAAAAAAAAAAAAAAAAAAAAAAGAAAAATGCAAGAAATTCACACATGGTCAAACATGGCTTACAAATGACACGGGCATGTAACATTGTGTCATGGACACGTAAAGTCTGCCTTGCCTAGCACTACTTGCCAGATTCTTAGTCAAATTACATTAAATAAAGATATTTCAAAAGACTAGACTGGGACGTTAGGAACAACACGTGGACAACAAGGGGATGTATTTGCAACCTCTCCTTCCATTCTGAGGCCATTGAATGGGATCCCAACACGGTACCAATTGTTATTTGGGGATGATTGGCCACACCGAAAGCTCCTCCTACACACCCTCTTGACACACTTGGTGGAAATGCTGACTACCAATAAAGAAAGAAAAAAAAAGAAGAATGTTGACTGGCACTTTATTGGACCTGCCTACATCATTCCCTGATGCACGGTTGCTTTGCTCAAGCATGTGCTTGAGGTCGTACTTGATATGATAGACTATGGGTGTCTGAAGCAGAGGAATTCTATGCATTACTACGGGATTGGTCACGTTCTAGACAGCATTTGGACAGTTTTACAGTAGGATAAAATACTGTCAGGAAGAATGAAGATATGTGTATATATATATATATATATATATATATTTTTGTAGAGAGCTGCCAATGGATCTCGAAATCCAAATAGGTACCATACGTTTCAGAACATGTCACTCAAATGGATTGAATGAAACATGGAGCGAAACAATGTCAAGTGAAAAATGTTAACAAAAAAGCTCCTCCACCAAAAAGCTGATTTCTTCAATGAAAAAATCTCGATACCGTGGCTCATTTAGAAGAACTGAATCTCCTACCTGGTTGGAAAACATTCCCCTAATCGCCCATCGCTTCAACTACACTCCAATGCTAAATTTCAATAGACTCCCTGCAGACTAATCAAGGAAAGCTAGGAAAATGATACAGTCGTAAATCTCAATGAGTCTCTTGTAAAAGATGGCACAACTCCAGGCAGGGCTGCTGTTCAAATGAGGGGAAAAAAAATTCAAGGCCAAGCATGGATAAAGTAACCTTTCGCTCTAAGGCTGGCAATCAACCTGGTCGCTTCCTCCCGTGAGTGACTGAATTGCCCCCAGTGGTAATCCAACATGGTGTTGTGACGGTAATGAATCTCCACAAAGAGCTCATCAATGATATTAGCCATTTCAAGGTCAAGTAACCACCTCTTCAGAATCGGCCATTCCGCTCCCTCAATATCCATCTTCACCACGACAGCATCATCAGCTGTCAGCTGCAAATCCTCTTTGATGAATCGTGTAATGTTGGTGGACTTCTCATCGTCACCGTCAGATACAAATGTGTTGTACGTTTTAATGCGATCCAACATCCAATTCGGCACTCCAGGTGCAGTCTTAACACGCGTTGCGTGAGAGTTTTCAGGAACCCAATTTGTTTCCTCATTGAAGCCTGACGATGGGATCTTGAAGAGTTGAGGAGACACTTCGAATGCGTGAATTTCAGTGAAATCACAAGGATACATCTGTGAAAACCATGTCACGCTTGTGCGGAAGCTATTAGCCCCTAAATCGAGATACACACGGCGCGCCCTTTTATTGAGGTCAACTTTGGCCCCGTAGAGCCATGGGAGAATCGCAGTTTTATCTTCAACATCGCTAGTAAATTTCAAAGAAAAACCACGGCGAAAATTGTTTCTCGGATCCAAGGCTTCGATCAACTGCCCCTTGACCCTACATTTGGCTGGTGCCCCTATCCACTTCATCTGACTCCATGCTTTCGCAACCAGAGGCTCTTGTCCAGAATTCAGATGACCTATTACTGACCCACAGATAGGATCTTCCTGCGCCGAATCAGCCACAGATTCTTTGTCGGATTTCGCTACTTTGGCATCAGATGCATCGAACACCAAATCTACACACGACGATGTCCCCGAGTGGTGCAACACGTAGTCGATGAATATATAGCTGAGGAGGCATAGGATAAGGAAGTGGCATACTCTCGGACTTCGACCGGCCGCTTGCAACTCGCCGAAATAAGACATGTGGCCTCGAAGTCTGTTTCAAGTGCCTTGCCTAGTCCAGATATCGCTCAAGTAACCCACCGATCAGAAGTTGAACTCCCGAGTCTGCTTCCTTTTCTTTTGTGTATTTTTCACAAAAACCCATGCACCCTTGTTGTTCTCACATGCAGTAAGTTCCTTTGACACTATAATACGGTCGGAGAGGGTGCAATCATTTCTCTGCAGAGAAACAAAGAGAAACAAATAACCAATAAAAAAATTGACAGCCGGAGAGTGTATTGTCTGATAACACCTCTACATGAAACAAACAGACGTCATAATCAAAAAAATACCGATCAAGATCACCTAACACAGCTTCACAGAAAGATAGCCCTTCATTAACGTCGTCAAATCAGTACCACAACTCTTGTAACTCTAATCACAAAATAACCCCTCTGAAACTCAAACTGCGTGGAGGTGAGCCCCGAAGACAAAAAAGCTGCAACCATAGAACCAAGCACCTAACAATCGCGCAGAGCGCATCAATAATAACACCATCGATGGAGAACAGTAAACAAAAGTAATGGGCACTAGCACTAAACAAAAAACTCGCAAACATATGGGGAGATTGAGAGAGGAAAAAAAGAAGAAAAAGAGCTGGTACAGTTGACTGGCAGAGTATGCACCTGGGATATTGCGAGGCACACAGATCGGCGAGAGGTTTTCGCTAAAGAAAGCGCACCGACGTGATAGTCCCGCTTCGAACACACCCAAAACAACCTCTTTGCGACATTACTAGCATTTGAGCCTCATAACTCTCCTGCTCCAATAATAGAAAAACTTTGATGGACCAGCATGATTGGCCACACGGTTCCTTTCGTGAAAGTCCCATCATCCGCGTTATCATCCAACTAGGGTTTTCCGTGCTTCATCGGCGAAAGCCTGGTCTGCTCTCTCGAGAAACACAATCAGATCCACGTTATGCGGAGTCTTTGCATCTCTGGAAGTTTGGTTGGTTTGAAGGTCTGCGTGGGAGCATCTTGTGCAGTTCTCGACAACCAATTATATGAGGGAATGGGTATTGATGGGTATTGCAACCATTCCTTTGCTACAGTGCATACAGGATTGGTATTCGGTCATGTGGTACTGTTGATCTTGCTGACTCTTTCGGAATTCAGTCAAGTCAATTGTCCAATTCTACTGCACTCGCAAGTCAGAGTCGTCTCGTCACTTGACTCAGACGCATTGTGAAGAAATTACTAGATTCTTAGAGTTGCTGAACAGTTTTACCACATACTTCAACTCGAAATGTGGGCAGCACATTGAGACAGTCTTTGTGCTGAGACGCAGTCATGAAGCTTGAAACCGTAATAACTAATGTCTTTTTTATTAGGAACAAATTACACATCACATCAAAATTACAGCAGCGATTGATATCACAAAGCACTGTGGATGAGACAGTAGGTTGGATTGTAAAGCTAAGTTGCGGGCCCACCTGAAGTTGACGGGTGAAAAGGAACATGAAAATCTCTCTTTCCTGGTACAAAGTGGGGAATTGTCCATAAAATCTTCCTACATGTGCGCGACATTACCTTTTTACATACATCATTAGGAGTAGGGTTATTGGCGAAGCCTAGATTGAGAAATAAGCTTCTTCTATTCAGATCACACAGCACCGGTAGGTTTCCGCAGATCTGATGGCAAGAAGCTTCTCCGGGAAGTGTGATAAAAAAGTATGGGTAGGTGCAGATTATTTTCGGTGGTCTGATTTTCGGGTTTAATTCGGATTTCTATTTAACTTTCCAGATGCTATGTGGCGTTGACAAGTTTGCTGCCTCGTGACCTCGAATGTTCAATCTGTTGACGAAATTTGCTGCATCGTGCAGTTGTTGAACGGCACGAGGTGCGTAAGCTATCTTGTGGATGTTGTTCCAGCACATCACCAGAGAAGGAACCACAAACATTTTGGAGAGGTGCCCTTCATGTTCGTTCCTTTAAAAGCAATCTTCCCATCTTATCGATAGTTGTTACGCGGTTACACCTGGCAGAATTCATCCGTGTTCCACTTCACATGCTAGTTCTTAATATTTTATCCAGGCATACATACTGCTCACTGGGACTGCGCTGAGTATACACGTGCAATTTTTACTTCCTTGTGTAACCGTGCGAAAATATATTGCATAACATTATGTACAACTTGCTGATACCCGTGAATAACATACATCTTCTTTATAAATGAGAAAAAGCAACTCTTCGCGTCAGAAAGGACCATCTCAAAACCATGAAACATACCGCAAGTAATAGAGATTAATTAACACAAAATGAATTAGTAATATTCGAGGTCAGCACCTTCATCTCATGTTCTAATCCATACGCCACCAGACAACTAAAATTCGGGAGAAGAAAATGTCTTACAAGGATCTCACATTTCCTAAGAGCAGTGCCGACAGACACGTCCTGCGGTTGCTTGCGCCAGCAACTGCAACCACGGCATGACAAACTGCTAAGTAGTGATATCGACATTGAAACCCAAGGATTCGGGTAGAGTTTCAAGTAAGCTCAAACCAAATAATGCAATGTTTGATTTGGTCCACAAAATACAATTCCAGATGCAAATTATTTCATAGCAAATCAGATTGTCTCCAAAAGCACAGAGCACGAAAATCAAGAAAGGAAAATTGAATGATTTCACTATTAAAGATATACAATGAAGAGAATCTACTCATCTGTTGAACAACGATGAATTAAATTAGGTGAATACCTCCAATCGGGATTCCGTTGTCAGCACCAAAAAAAATCGACTTCGCCCTTCAAACTAGCTCACATCCTCAAACTTAATATTGTCAAGCGTTGATTCGTATACCGCGACTTCTCCCAAGTAAAGACACATTTAGAAACATAACATTTCAATTCTGTGATAGAAACACAGTGCCATATACAAGAGCCAAAAACTGCCTATCCTCTATCACCGCAGCAAATGGGAGCTCTCGATCGTTCGTATTACACGTCCAAGACCAGGCAATCGCTAGAGGAGCAAGACAGTAACCTCCTGCTGCAGCGTGGTGTGTGAATGATATGAAACTAAAATGACAACTTAGACAAGAACCTTCTCCATTCGGTGAAACCGCATCTTCAACATAACTAACGACACTTTGGATTCAGGGTCCAAAGAATTTCGCCTCCATTGAACTCTAACTTGTTTTTAGAACTTATAACCAACTCAATGAGCAGCTCAACCACAACTGAAGTGTTCGACGCCTTCATGTGTGGCCTCTGAACAAGCAGAAGCTTCACAAGTATTCTCCAAATTGCAGGACACAGGATGGTATTACCCATGTAACCCTCATCAGTGACTTATATAAGAACAGCTGGAGCTGCAACACACAAAAGCATGGACCTTCAAGAGTGCGGAATAGAGTTGGCACGGAAGTATCCGTTCCTGAAAGCATCAAAGTGAATAATGACATACCTGGGGCAAGATTCTCTTGAACAGTGCCATACTTCACATTCACACAGTGCCAAAATATCGATGTCATTCGCTCCACCCAAGACATTATTGATCTCATCCATCTAAAATCGACCTCAGAGAATATATTGAGTGCACAGGAAATTCAGGACATGGTTGGCGATGCGGCAGACAAGATCCAACTCAAACTCCCAAATGTCCACACAGGTAAATCAATATCTACAGTTCAGGACGAACTGAAAGTTCAAAAAAAATTTAAAGAACCAAATGTCGGAGATGCTCTCGGCGGTTCACTGCTTACCCGACCTTGCTTAACATTACACAAGGTAACAGCGGCCAGCAGCTCCCTTACAGTCGATTACATAAGTCAGTTCTTTTCGTCAGTAGAGCTGGTGTTGGCCTCAAATGGTGTCTCAGAGATGCAAAGCTTGTGAAAAGTGACAGTAATAGGTTCTCGTTTTTCAGGCACGAATCAAAGCTGCCATGGAATATATGGAGCAGTGAGGATTCGTCCACCGATACATTCACCTTCCAATTCATTGTTGAACTCGGATCATCCGAAGAGGCTGTAATCAGATGGCTGTGACCTGATCTACTAAAATTAGTATTTTCTACGAGAAGTCTTGGAAAACCCTGAGTCTCCGGACAACACTCTTTTCAGTGAAGTGAAAATACTTGATGATCTTGAAGGCTCTCCCATGCCCGGGCGGGAGTCAGCTGGCCCTGCTTCTGAAGAGGGCGTATCAGGAGTTCTAGGATTGAATTCAGATGGGTGAGAATTTCTTCTTGGCACAGCAGTATGTTCAGCCATAATTTTAGCCCTTTTCTGTGCAATGAGCCGCGCCTGGGTCTTGATAAAATTCAGTTGCGCTCTATCATCCATGCTAGGATTTAGCCGAGGTAGGTACGTCTCTGAATCAGGAAAATTGTAATTTCTGGGCTTGTTGTAGTAATATATTCCAGCATCGTACGCACTTGCAGCCTCTTCCTCCGTGTTGTATGTCCCAAGCCAAACAGTTCTTTTAGCACCCGTTGGCCGTATTTCTGAAGTCCATTTTTTAGCTTTCCATCTGACTCCGTTGTATCTGGGCTGGGGAATTTTCTCTACATGTAACGCACACGGTTCAGGAACTGGTGACTCAATCTGGTCGGTAGTTTGAGTGTGCCACCCATGGTCATAAGTCGTTCTCAAACTATCTGCAACTTCACTGCTTCCAGCTGGGGAGGGCGTAGTCGGTCCCAGTGAACTGCCTTGAAACGGCACAGCATAGCCCCTAGATTGAAAAGTCGGTCCTGCACTTTCTGAAACCTCAGCACTACTTGCTGAAGTAGGATGTGTATCCTGTCCCGTATTTCTAGGTGGATCGATATTCTGAATCATTGTGCTGGGAATATCACGAGACATACTTTGATCTTTGGCCATGCTGTCGTCCCGGTTTCCAAATGACATGTCACTCCCGAATGAATACGAGTACTTGCTAAGATCTTCTACAGAAGTCGACTCAGTGTCATTACCACCTATGTCAACTTCGACAACAGGTAGGGTGTACAGTGATTCACTGGCCTTCGGCAACTGGTTCTCAGCTCTAGTTGAACCTGAATAATCACTTTCTTCTCGAATACTTTCAAATTTCTTAAATCTTGGAAGGAATCTTGCTCGAGACAAATCTCTATGCTTGGCGGGAAACGAGGCCGCTTTCATACGACCGGGTAGAGGGGATTGGCCAGGCTGAGGCTGTTGAGCGCCCTGTGCAGTATGGTTCCTGATCCTCCGGCTTCCTAACCTTGGCCATGTCCTTATCTTCTGAAGAAGTGTAGAAATGCGTCCGTCTCGAAAATGTGACGATTCCGTGGTCTCTACAGGCTTAGGATAGCAAGTAGGACAATTCTTATTGTTACATTTGGACTTGTTTCCAGAAAAAAAATTCCAAAAACGGCACTTCAAATCGTCCTCCATTTCTAAGTACGACCATTTCACGGTACCAGCAAAAACCCTAACTTGGTTAATCACTCTTCGCCGCGTCTTCGTCCGATTATTCGCGCCGTCCTCCATCTTTGAGATATTATCTGATTGCCGATTACCCGTCGGAGTCCACATGCTGGTAAGATAGTTTCAAATCTCTCTTCCTCGCTCTCCTCGAGCTATTCTGTTGCTTACGCCGTCAGCGTTAGCTATTAACTTCTAGCTTACGAGCAATGGGAGCTCATATGTGGGAAATCTTTGATTAGTGACGTACCTATAACACTAGCCTGTGCTCCTAATCTCCACTCTTGCTCCAGCAAACATGAAAGTGCTCAACTTCAAGTCTCACCGCTGCTTGTTGCAAGCAGCGGTACTCAACTATCTGTACTAATCGGATCCCCTCTGGCCATGAAGTGAAAAATGGAAGGGCAGGTGTACCTGACATGCTACAGTTGCAACTCTCAATAGGGTTCAACCTTCGACTCCATAACACCTAGCAGGCTTGCGCAGGTCAGAGAAAGCTGATCAGCCATCAACCGTCCAGTGAATAGATTAAACTCATACCACCCCTTTCAAAACCAGCGAACAGGAGATGATTACTTTTCCGCTAAGCACAAAGCTCGTCCACCTATCCCGCACTCAACAAAAGCACACAACTCATGCCTTGCGATCCAGATCTGACAGGCTAAAAACTTGCACATAGGTAGTCCCAAAACTGCGCAGGTCCAATATGAATCAATCACGTGTTCGAAGTTTAGACAAGCAATCCCTCGCAGTTGCAGAATTGAAGTGCTAGTGGCAGATGTCAAACCTCGCAAGTGCAATCCGTACTCCACAGTCTCTCCCCCTCGCCTGATAGCAAAGTAGGAGAGACTAGGGAACGGACTTTTCCGGAAACGCTACCCCACACAACGGTCCTCATGCATACAATGACTCACACCTTCGACTATAGTTCCTGAAATGATTCTTATGCACCAACGGTACAGTTGGGCAAGTTGACGCCCCGAGGATTATGAAGGAATCTTAAATTCCGCGATGCCGTTGACGATTTCTAAAGTTGTAATTAAAGACTTTGAATGTGCACTTCGACAATCTCTCCTAATTGGCGATCGGAGAATAGACCGTCAGTTTCTTTGAAATGTCCCAAGCAGAACATGCATTGAGATTGGCAAGTTTGTAGAGCCCGAACGAAAAAGAAGACTGGGCAACAACCCATCCCTCAACGATGAGGAAATTGAGGGAGCCACGACGTTGTGTGCTTCAGGTCACACTAATGAGTCATGCAGAAGCCCTATCTCCCAAAGTCAGCCATGAGAAAGCCAAGCAACTGACAAAGAGTACATCTCTATCACTCTAGCTCCAATTATTATATACTGATACTATGTGAACTACGAACAATGAACGTATTGCACATGCACCACCGCTACCAAGTCCGTCAGCCTTAATTCTGCTGCCGTACGAGAGAGGCAAAATGTATCTTTCAGGTATGAGACGCGAATCATGAGGATATTGCTTCATCACATGAGTACGTCCAGCTAGTAGCGGATTCCTGTAACAATGATGCAGTCCTTCGAGTTCCGCTTTAATTCAAGGTTACCTTCACACTTTTGCGTGATCGTACTACTTACACTCTCGTTTAGCAGGTTGAAGAAACACCGCTCGTTGCATAGGTGCAAACATTGAGTACACGTTTAGTTGTTACACCACCCAGCTCTTCCACACTTGGTCAACAACTTAAGCAGAGGCTTATCTTCTCTTTCCCCTCCCTGAAAAGTGCTCTGGTTGCTCGATGTGGTCATGACAGTCAAGGAAATTCATGTCATGTGACTCCACATAACACGATCACAGTGGTTTCTGTCCTGCCAGACTCACACAACTTGTCGCTTTTGAAGCTGCAATCCATCGAGCACGATTTCAACCTTGCCTAATCGATGCTCTGCCGCGGATCTGACAATGGAGGCCTCAACGAACTTGAGAATCGCTTCTAAAGTACTTTAATAAGCTCGCTTTTTACAGCAGAATATCTCGCTCGGTAAAGCTAAGCCAGCGGAGGGCAAGACAAAATTGCCAGAAGCGAACACAACACACTCACTCCCATCGCCAGAATTAGGCTTCTAGAAGCGGAATCTGCACGCGGCGGTGAAACGATGACAAGGCTAGGCCATTCTTGCCGCTATAGACGGTCTAAGCAGTCTCATGCTCTCCGACCAGTGCGTGATAGTTAGGTTTCGCGGGCATCCACCGATCGGACGGTGGGGAGGAAACAGAGTTTTGATGCAATTTGTTCAATTGTGAACGAAAAATTAAGGAAATTTAATTATCGATGTTGTTGTTGTTGTTGTTGGGTTCCAGGGTAACTAATTTAGAACCACTCATCATTCTAGTTTTCATCCTTTTTCCCTGTTTTTATGCTGTTTCTTTTTCTTTTTTTGTTTTGTTGCTGTTGTTGCGTGTAAAGGTTTTGTTATTCAGGTAGTTATATGAAATCAAATAAATAGGATTCTTAATTTGATACTATTGGATTTGGTTTCAACAATTTGAAATATCTTGAACGTATGATACTTTGAACGTTTGGTTGAATCATGGATTGAACTTTTGAAACAAAAACTTCGGTACTATCACACATCTAACAAATTAATTTGAAAAAAAAATAGCACATAATGTTTTTATTATATGCATACATACATATATACGTACATACATATATAGAATATGTATACTCATATATAATCAATAATGTAAAGTAACTTTTCAAATAATTTTAAGAAATGAAAAATAATAATCCTTATTGTGGTCTCATTTATTAATGATACTTTTGTTTTAAATATAATTAAATCCTATTTTTTTAAAGCTAACTATTAGTTTTATAATAATTTAAGTAAATAAAGTTTCAAAGAAAAGTATTTATAATATAAATGATGTTTTTTTGTATCAAATATGACTATATGCACTTTAAATACAAATATAATTTTAAGATTATTCCAAGAGATTTTTGGTAACTTTAAATGCAAATATTAGTCAATATCTCTTCCGGATCAATTATTTTATATCATTAGTTAGATAAATAAATAAATCAATATATCCATAAATCAATAAACTTAACAATAAGTTCTTTTTAAATATTTTTTACTATTTATTTTTATAATTTTTTAATTATTAAATATTATAATTTTACTTTTGTAATAGGAGGTTTATGTCTAGTTTAATAAATTTGGAATAACTATTAGTAGCAATATTAAAATTAAAGTAGATAATAATGAATTTAAGGCAACTTAAATAAAATTATAATATCTTGTATATTAGCATAGAAATAATACTAATAATTAAATTTGAAAGACATTAAATAATCTAGCAATTTATTTTTAAACTAATTTTTAAAAAATATATCATTATTATTATTATTTGTTATAGATAAGGACTATATATTTATTGTAATAATATGATGATATAGAATAAAGAAGAAACAAATATAATAATTAGATATATACATGTTCTTTTAATATTCTTTTATACATTTTATTTTAACAAGATTAAGAACCAACCACTAACAAATAAAATTATTGCTATAAGATTAAAAAAAGTCTTTGAGTGCTTGTTGATATAATAAGAGGTAGATACTACATCTAATAACATATTAGATGTTTTATATGAATGTAGTCAATAAAACCTCAAAAATGTTGATATGATTAAATGAACTTCTTATTTAGATATAAAATAATATCAATAGTTTAAAAAACCTATGAACCACATTTGTATAGATTAAAAATTAGAAATTATAAAAAATATTATTTTATAAAATTTAAATTATATTAAATTATATTCAAATTTAAATTTTACTATTATTTGATAAATATATTTCTATAAAATATATAATTTTATATATATATGAAATATATTTAAATTAAAATAAGAAAATTATATTCAAAATTAAGATTTAGAATTTTCTAATTACAAAGCTATTACTATAAATAGAATTTTTGTTTTAGAATTTTTTATATTTAAATTTGTACTTTGAACATTGAATCTATTTGATTTAATTAAACAATCTTGCATTTTGTGGTTTGGTTATCAATAATAGAAACATAATTTTTTATCATGGCAACTATCATTTTTTGCTAATATTTGTTGATTAAATTGAATTATATTGTTGTACATAAGTTTTAGCCTAAATGAATAATCTTGCAATTTTCTAAAAGATATTGTTGTGTATTGATTTGTCCCTCTCCAACCAAATCTTTATTCTTGATGCTTTTCAAACACTCAGCCATCACATATAATTACTTAAATTATATATATTTTTTGAATAATATACTTTTAATAGGGTCAATAATAGATCTTCAACATTATTGTTTAAACCATATCAAAATTGGAAGATAAGAGTTTTATTATTCTAATTTATATTATAAATAAGTTGTTGAAATTTGATAGCATAAATAGCAATAAAATTTGATCTTTGTTGCAAAGATTGAAGTTTTATTTTTGTAATTTTTTATTGATTGTTATCTCAAAATATAGTTGTGAATTTCTCCAACATATCAATCTTTGACTCCCTTGTAGAGGGCTTTGAAATATAAACTATATTACTCTATTGAACTTAATCACTTGAACTTGTTTCTTTTAATTACAAATTTGTTTAGCATAAAGTATGAACTTTCTCATTGACTTTTCTAATAGGCATAGCAACTTAATCTTTTATATTGGTATTCATGATATGTGAAATTTTTATACAAAGAGTGTTAAAAAGACCTTAAAGATCTGCAATAGTTGCTAGCCTATTATCTAAAGTTTCATCAGTAGTTTTTATATTTTTATTTCGTTCTATCTAAAAACATCTAAATTATAAATAAATAATATTTATTAAATACATAATTTAGATAAAAAAAAGATAATATAAAATATTTTTTAATTAAATAATGATATATATATATATATATATAAAAATAATAATCTATTTTTTAAAAAAAATATTAATATAAGACACCAAAATATTAGTTCAAAGATGGATAGTTATAACCTTTGAAACAACAAAATTTATAAAAAATAGAATTATCTACTTACTTCTTAAAAAAAATATTATAAATTTAAAGAAATAATAATATTCTTGTTAAACTACTAAAAATATAATTTATAACTTTGATCAAGAATAAATAATTTTTAAGCAAAAAAAACTAAGATATATATTAAAAATTGTTAATGCTACATTCTAATTGATATTTTTACATCCTACATGATCTTTGTTTGTTTTGGCTATCAAATATATAAAAAACTTATTTTTTTTTATTTATTCTATTTTTTTTATATTAACATTGAGATGAAAAATTATATTGCTAAATGTGCCCTAAGATAAAAGCATGCCTTTTACCGAGTTTGAGTGGTGTGGAGGTCATGTAGCATGTAACAATATCAATTAGGGATGTAGTATCAAGGACATCAACTAAAAGATGATGCATAAACCAATGAAATTTTTGTCAAACAAAGAGTGACAAAATAGAAATAAAAAAATATGTATATTAAAAAAATTGGAAAGGCTTATTGCCAAAAGATAAGAAAACTTGAGACTCTTGAAACTAGACTACAAGCAAAAAAGGAATTGATAAGAGTGAAGAAGACCTCACTCTTGTCTCTATATATACTATCTAACTAAGAGCTACGTAGCAATGTTCTATAGGACCACCAATATGTGTTGACTTTGTAGGATACATGCCTCGACTTACAAGATAAGTTTTTCTATGTGTGGGCTACATAATTAGCTTGGTCTTCAAACTAACAACATGCGTGGCACATAACCAACTTATTGACTATGTTTTTAATCCAAAAAGTCAATTAAAGACACCTATAAAGTCAAAGTAGCATCTATAAAGCTTCTACAAAGCTTTCATAGAAGATTTTATAGAATTAACTTATTTTTAACTACTTTTATTTACTTCTACTTATTTATATAAATAATTATCGGCTTACATGCATATATTCATGACATTAACCCCCTTTCTAAGGATGAGTTCCATGAAGAGTCGTCATCATATGTTGAAGAAATCTATGATACAAAGAATTATATTCGCCACATACTGAGATCTTTGTTCTCTTTGAAGATGGTTGATAGGGCCTCTCAACCATCAACAGTGTCGTATACTAAGGCAGGAAGACCACCTTGTTATCTGATCGTTGTTGAGACCTTCATAACTTCCTTCAAATAAAATATTTAGAATATCGTTAGGAGTTGTTCCTACCTTTAATAAAATTACCAAACATTAGGAGTTTCTTCTAAGGTCGTGATTTCAAACGCGTTATATTTCACCATCTATTTGAAGAAAAACACATCATTTTTGAAGATCTTCATCTCGATTGCATCATCTTGAAGGTTGTGCTAATCGTAAAGTCTCGTACGATAGGTCTGCAAACAAAGGCTCTTCAATCAAATCCATTGATTATTGGTTCTTCATCTCTTTAGCATCACAACTACAAAAAAGTTACAAATAAAGATTGAAAGTAGAATGTTATCTTGCCTAGATCTTGTTTCTTTTATAAGGAAGGTTTTTTATCTTAATGGATGTCATTGATGAAAAGCCTCTACCGCCTTTGCTGCATTTGCAAGATTCTTTACTAACTCCCATGTGCATTTACTAATATCATATCTATGCCAATAGATAAGATATTCTAATTTATTTTGGTGCCACCTTGAATCTAAGACTTCTTCTACTTCAAACTCTTCATTATTATCCACTTCTATATAAGGAGGTGGAGCTTATCTTCTTCTTGGTATATCCATTGTCTTATATGGTTCAAAAAGAGACACGTGGAGTATTAGATGGATTTTCATTGATTTTGGTAGGTGTAAACGATATACAATAGGATTGATTTGTGAAAAAATAGAAAATGTTCCAAGTCTACGATAGTCCAACTTGTCACAAGGATGAATGGTCTTGATATTATGATGAAATAATCATACCTCATCACCCATGTGGAATGGTAGTTGTTCCTTTCGATAGACATCCACATTGATCTTTTATTGTTCTTGAGCTTCTTTTAATTGCGCCTTCATTGTTACATGTAGTTTTGATAAATGATTTGCAAAATCTTTTGCCATAGGATTATCAGCTTTTGAAAAGTCAAAAGTATCAAGTCGTGGATGATAA